ACTCAAAATCCTCGGAAAAGCCATAAACTTTTATTATGAAAATCAAACAGTTGGTTAAGTTATAAGTGTAATTAAAACAATCGTCAACCTAAATGTCACTTACGTTGTTGAGCGTGTGTTGAATACTGCGATTGAAATTACCAGATCATATGAACAGGAGGGCACCGAGGTCTCCTGAAATCAACACAAAATTAATAGAGGAGTTATATATACTGAAGGAAAGCCTAAGCCATCAAAGTGAGATCGAATCATCTTAAGATTACATGCCTGAGCCACACCTGCGGCAAGTTTTTTTTCGTGGTTCTTATGTTTGATTTTACGAGCTTTGGTAAGTTCTGCACAAAAACAACGTTTTTGAGGGGCCAATTTTTAGGCTTTGCTTCGTAATTGGCGCTAAAAGCGCTCGCTAAGAAAATCAAATAAAGTTTTTAAAATTGAAAAACAGTTCGAAATGAAAGCTCTATCGGCGGTGAAAGAATAGGGCTTCTTGATAACCGCCCTGGGCTTATGACAGATATCGCTTCTGAAAGCCCTATATACCTTTTTTAGAGTAAGGTTTCAAAAAACCGCTTTAAATATTTATTGTTATTTAATCACTTCCTATTAAAAACCCGATTTTGCATATAAGGTAAGAAAAACCTTATTTGGCAGAATGAGGTCTGTGTATCGGTGTGAATAAATATGCTTTGACTGTGCATGTGAAAACATGTTGTCTGATGGCTCAAGAGCGTCGATTTGACCATTGAAGCTGGCTCTCCTTAGGGCTTCCCCGCTCAGGCCTGTGCCTGCTCCGACGTCCAAAACTCTGCAGTTTCGAGGCACGGTGAAGCCTGAAAATTAAACTTGTTATGAGCTACTTCAAAATCGGCCGCGAACATCAGCCAAAAAAGAGTCGCAGACTTATCATCTGCTATGAGAGTTAATTGAGAATTATGTCAAGACTAGCAATTCCAGCAGTTCAAAGTTAAACTTAGAGTTAAGCTTTTACAATTGCTTCCGCAAAATTTCTTGCAAAGCACTATCCTTTCATCCAATCCCTAGCACACCTTTTTTAAAATGACAATAGAGCAAACTAGCAAACTGCTTTGTTGATTTCCTTGTATAAATAAAACCTAATCAAAAGAGTAAATTTGCTATTTTGCTCGATTAGTGATTATCAGTATTATTCATTATAAAAGAATTCTCATAAATAATTGTGATAAAAAACTTTAATAAATTAGAGTTTTACTGTACCAAACTGTTGTTCGCAGTCAAGTAAAGACTGCATACACACTTCAGGCCCACAATACTTCAAATTCCTCCTGAACTCCGGCTCGTAATCTTTGGCTGTCCTCTCGTAGTAAGCCAACTCCTCCGGGGCTGATTTGGTGGTGTACAATTCATTTTTCCACATCCATTTTATGTCGGCAGTCATTTCAGTCATATCTGTGGGTTGAGGAACCTTAAACTAAAAATACGCGATGAGTAATTTCAAATATGAAGGTCGTTATGATCCAGGGGTGGATCTAGGATTTTCTCGAGGGGGGGGGGGGGGGGGGGGGAGTGAGTGGATTTTCAAAAATTTTTCAAATTTTTTTAGGTTGACCTTTTTTTTATGGACCTTTGTTTAGGTTGACCTCAGAAAAGCCCTCCCCTAAATGCCCTCCCCTGCTACTGGTATGAACAAGTTAAAAAAATTTCGCTTTATTTTAAAATGGCAATCTAAGTAATCCATTGAATTTTGATTTGTTCAAAATAATCGTTCAGTTTCGGAGTTAATGATTGCACCGAGGCGTGCATGTAAAATTTCTCATGAAAAATTCCCAGTTCTACCAAATTGGTTGTTTTTCCGTACCAAAACCCTAGAAAGACACTATTCTGCTGAAGTTAGCATGCAAAAAAGGCTGGTTAAAGTGTGCAGCTCCCTCAAATTGAATTTTAATTGGCGCCGACGAAGATTTTTTAAAAAGTTTGATGTTGGTTTCGGTTGATCACAATAGATGTCGCAAAATAAAAGCAAAGGAGTCCCTTTGGGTGGTGAGGGTGTCGAAGCACTTAGGAAGGATCCCCCCATAAATTAACCAGCCCTCATTTGCTCCTTCCCATCGTCAAAAAAAAATCCTATGCCCACGTTTGTGAATAATAGTTTAAGGCTAATCGCATGGTAGCCTCTCAGAATAACGCGAAGAGTACAAGAAAGACTCATCTGATCACTACTTAAAAGTTTTATCTGACTTCAATTGCTCAATTGCAACTTAATTGGATTCAACTGGAACAAAAAAAAAACAGGATAGAATTTCGTAAATTAAGTTTTGAGTTTCTTCTTCATTTGATGCAATATTTACCTGGTTTTTATTTTATTTGAAAAAAGGATTTAGATTAAACGGATGGATTCTCTAAATAAATCAAACTGTTCAGCAAAGAACATAAACTTTTAATGAAAAATAACTTTTATCCAAAAGAATTGTAACTTCTTATCTTTTAATCTAACAACCAATTATCAATTGCTGTGATGGCGGCGTGGCATCGGCCCTAATTTGGTGACTTTCTGGAAAACCGAACCGAGAAATGTTTGTCAGTCTTATAACATCAGAGTCTTAAGACTTTCTTCGAACCAACGTATGATCATAGAACTTAATTTGAGAAGAATCATCGTGTAATTTTAATCTTTTAGAGGTTGATACCCTTCGCTTTCACTTCTGAAATCAATAAATTTCGGATTCTAGTCGAGTTATTTTGAAAGGTTTAAGTAGAGACACCGAACAATGTCCTCAGTTCAGTTTGTTTAGTTGATAAAATCACATTCCTCAAAGATTCAGACGACAATTAGAATGACGACACTGACACACCAGTTTAAACTTGAGTAAGTCTTAACCTGTGACTTGTAGTCAAAAACGTGACTTCTGACCGACTGGTTAATGACCAAAAAAGGTGCGATTTTTCAATTCAAATGCCTGAAAAACTTGAACACCCAAACTGACAAGTAAAAAAACTCAGGTAATCCTTGGCAGAACAATGAAACCTGCTATGCCTCACTGCATATAGTTCAAAAGGTTGCGGTTGCTGATTTGAGGTCCATCGTAAAGTTTAAAAGTCCACATTTTATTTCCAGACCTTCATGACCAACTTTTGGCTCGTTGCTCGCGAGAAAAATTTGGCTTTTCCAGTCTTTCGTGACCAAAAATATACATAGCAACCTTCGCGACCAGGGCAGAGACGGCGCGGGCGCGAGCGCGACCGTAAATGCTGAGGCAGGACCAGTGCATTCAACAATGGCTATTTGCAGATTTTCGCGAACGAAAAGATCTTTCGCGACATTCGATATCAAGGCAAAGACGGCGCGATCCAGGCAAGCAGTGACGCAATATTTCAGCCTTTTACTGGTTTAGGAGAGGCACGACCGCGCCCAGGAAACCATGCGATCCGACATGAAGCGGCGGGGGCAACCAACATTGACCCTGACAAGGGATTCGGATCCCACTAGACACGGCGCGAATTTCCAGAACAGGGCGGAAATCGCGCGATTGGTGCAACAGAAGAAATAATTTAAGTCACATTCAATTCTGATCACGCTTGTTTTTTGGCTTTTCAAACCAAAAACAGAAAAATTACTTTGTACCAATCCCTCATATGTCATTTTGTAGCTTTTAATTTCAAAACAGAAAAAAAATGAAAAGCAAATAAGAAAATTGTTTTAAGACATACTTCAAAGGTTCTGCAGTACCCCCCCTTACTTTTTCGTCTGTGACAGAAGAGGAGAGAATTTCAAATGCATTTAAGGTAGTGGGGGTTGGTCTGACGCCTTTCTTCCATAGATTCGATCCTTTCACGAACAGAGCGGTCCTCACTTTGGTACTATTTTAGACAACCATTTTCAGCGACCCACCCTATTTTTTTTAAAATATTGTAGGTGTTCTCGCTAGAATTCTGTCATACCTCAATGTATGAACGTTTGATTCCCAAATCCGAATGGATCGACAAGCAGATAAGCTAACGCGGAGCGAGATAAAACGACCAATTTAAACCAAGGTTTATTCTTGCTCTGACCGTTCATTCGGTCTGTGTTTGAGATGAGATCTCTCAAGGTCGATTGACCGGCTGAATGTATGTTTGGGGCATGCAACATCATAATTATATGTAAAAACATAAATCATAAATGTCAATGTATATATATCTGAGTTTTGTCGGTCCATGCCGGATGACATTTTCCCTTGACACTTAAATTATAACTGATAATTGAGTTTTAAAGTCCACGTGGGACCGTCTAGTTTTAGGTTTTTGAGTTTTCGTCCCCGTCCTTCTTAGTGTGTGGGTTTATTGTTGTTTGTATCCCTTTGTATCTCACGTTAAGTTTATCTTTGGCTAGTTCTATAACTTTATGACGTGCACCTGTTGTCTGCTGTGTTGGAGACTTTGGAAGCTGTAGATTCTTTGGTAATTGTGTGCTCAGATTCCTTTTTTCTCAACTGTCACCTCGTCTTCCGACCATCTTTGAAGGTCATGCATGATCACTGCGGGTAGTGGGGGCTTTTCTAGGTTCTTTCAATCTAAACATGCATCCCAATTTAAGTTATTCGATGTACTATTTGTTGCGATGTTTGGTAGCGGAGTGTTGTTCTTCATCATCTGGCATTTCTGCATCAGCATCAAGTTTCTGAGTTTTTCCCCCTTTAATAAGTAAAATATCGTTATTGTTCTCCGCCATCTCATCCGTTAAAGACGTTAAATCAACCACTTCCTCTTTCTTTTTGGTCTGTTTAGGGCTTATAGCCTAAATGAACTTTAGGCACGCTTGATACTCTGGGGTTTCGTCCGAAAAACCCATTTCCTTGATAAAAATTTTCAAGCTTGGATAATTTGAGCTGTCTTGTTCGGGTGGCGAATCTATCTCAAATCGTCGACTTTCTTTGTTAGTGTTGCTCGGGTCGAAAATGGTGTTAATTGGGCTTGCGTTCCCAAATGCATTTGACAACGCCGATTGGCGGTTCCGGGTGGATCTTCTTGAAGGTTCTGTTGCTGGTGGGGTTGTTTTTTGATTCTGCCGTTCCGGCGAAGGGGCCACATCTTCCGATGATGTGGTTGAACTATTGTCATCCTGGCTTGATTCCACATCTACCGTTGTTGTCTTCTCCTTCTCTGTTGATGCATCTGTTTCCAAAGTCATTCCTCTGTTCTGGGGTTGTCTTGTAGGTCGTCCTCCTGTGCACTTACCCGTTGCTTTCGCCTTTCGTTTTGTTGGACTGATCGTTTGTTGTTTCGACTTTTTCTTGTATTTCACCGGGAGGCCCTTCACCACGTCTTCTTGAAACATTGCATGTTGAGGCGCGTTGGTGTTGTTGATGTCTAAAAAACGTAGACATAGTCGATTTCTCCGTGCGGATTTATAAGCCACATAATCGCTTAGCTGGGATGGTCCTACAAGGTCCATAAATTAAAGGGTTTGGTACAAAAGCTGCTCCGCTATTCCTTGAAAATCTTGGTTGTTTGCCAAATGTTTGTACCCAAGCGGTGTGTGGAGTGTATGTCAAGATTTTTCCATCCACTGTCTTACATTTTTGTTCAAATGTTTTTGGAGATTTTACTTTCATTGCTATCCTAATTGTTTTTCGTGCCAGCTGTACTATTTTCTTCATAGTGTGCGGGTCTATAGTTCTATGACTTTATGACGTGCACCTGTTGTCTGCTGTGTTGGAGATTTTGGAAGCTGTAGATTCTTTGGTAATTGTGTACTCAGATTCCTTTTTTCTTAAATATCACCTCGTCTTCCGACCATTTTTGAAGGTCATGCATGATCTCTGCGGGTAATGGCGGCTTTTCTAGGTTCTTTCAATCTAATCATGCATGTTTTGCGTTTTCCCAATTTAAGTTATTCGGTGTACTATTTGTTGCGATGTTTGATAGCGGAGTGTTGGGTTTACGGCCTAAGTGTGCTTCGAAAGGTGAAATTTTTGTGAAGCCGTGTGATGTGAGCCGTAAAGTTTTTATTATTTCAGCTACGTCGGAAGCAAGACGATACGGTGTGTTTGTTTTATCAATTCGCACCACTAGCCTGCGTTTGAGTTTTTGTATCATTCGTTCGTCTACCCCTATTGCTCTGTGGTCGTCTACCGGTGCGAAAAGTATTTTTATGCTATTCGAGTTACAAAAAGTTTGAATTTCTTTGCTCTGAATGTTTGAGCCTGATTGCATCTTAATCTTCTTGGCACGCTGTTGTTCGAATTATATCGTTGCATGAATTTTATGGCGATATCGGCTGTTGTGTTGGAAACAACCTTTGCCGTAGGAAATTTCGACCACTTATCGATAGCGACTAAAATTTAATTCATCCGGGAGGGGACCTGCGAAATCTAGCTGAACCTCCTCGTTGGGTTCTACCTCTGGTTCCATAATGAATGAATATTTTTTCCTATAATGGGTTTTAGATTTTTACCTTGTTCTGTACAGTGTCTGCAGTTTTGCGCAATGTGTACAATGGTTCTATGAATGTGAGGGAACCAGACGTGCTGACATAAATCCAACATGGCTGCCGATCCTAGATGGGTTAAATGGAGGCTGTCGAGCACTGTTTGGCGAAGTTGAGTCGGTATCACTATTCGTTCATCGATTTAGGAGACAGTCTTCGCGAACGTGAAGTCGATTGCTGATATTGTACCAATAAGGCCCATAAGAGTTTTTGATGGCCTCCCAATCCCGTTTCTTGACGAAATTGATGAGTGGGCGGAGGTTTCGATCTTTTTTCGTCGCCGCCGCGATGAACCGTACACCAAGCACCCGTTGGAGTTTCTTTCAGAACAATGGGGTGTCTCCTTCGCTCTCTGATGTGTTCGTGGCCTTTTCTATTGTTTCTGTTAGTCCCTCCGTGATCATTTCGTGGCTGGCCTCGAGTGATGTATTTGTCGTCATCGTTGGGGGTATCTCGTTGTGTTTTTGCTCCTCTTGTGTAGTCTTTGTTGGGTTTACGCGGCTCACCCAAATCTCATCTTCTGATTGCTGTTCTCCAGATAGCTTTGTTTGAGTACACCTGGAGGTTACTTCAATCTCCGTTTGGCACGAACCTGTTTTAGCGCTGGAAGATGCTCTTTCCTCTGTTTGGCAGTACGTCGTGCACGAATCCGTTTTAGCGCTGGAAGATGTTTTGTCCCCTGTTTGGCAGGACGTCGTTTTCAACTGGTCCGTCAAATTTTTGCTCTCCGTGGGGCTGTTTTGTTTTTCCTGGTCGTCTGAGAAAACGATTTTGGGAAAGTTTGATTTTGGGCGTGTCTCTTCAATTTTCTTTTTACTATTGACTTCTCTTGCGTTACCCTCAGTAGTTGTCTGTTTTGGTGAGTTAGTGTTTGCTCTCTTTCCTTTTGTAGGTAGCCTCTTCTGCCATCTTGGGCCTGACAGACTCTCTTCTCTGTCCGACGATCCTTGCCACTGCGTAGCTGACTTTGAGTTTTTCCTTTCTGTATCGGCACTTTTCAGTTCTGTGGGTATGAAGCCTCCTTTAAATCCACGAGTGTCTGATCGTCTGCTCATTTTAGAGTGAGTGATACAATTTACTGATTTTTGGACTGTTTGTTTTGCTTTGTGAAATCTTGTTTGAGAGAGAGAGCTGACTGTTCGTTGGCGATTTTTGAGTGAGACTGAATTGAAGTTTTAGTTCGCAATT